CTCGGTGACTTGATTAATGCATGTCATCGTATCCCAATTGTGTAGATCGATGCTCATGATATCAGTCACTGGATTGTCCGGTCAAGACTCGATTATCTACCGTCTTAATATACCTTGAATATTGCTGAGTGCGGCGTTAAACAACAAATAAACAAACACAATGATTCTAGCTTCTTAAATGACGCTGTTTAAACCGGTGATCACGTGACTTCTTCATACCTTTCCGAGATATGTTACCGTATGGTCAAAGACAAAATAATAAATAGGATGGGTGGTGTACATTTCTGTACGCGACAACATGCAAGGTTGTTATTTCTACCGTTTATTCACTGGAACCTTGAGTTCATAAACCGGACCTCACCAAATAGGAATCCTTGTATTCGAAACCATTGAATTTTGAACATATATGTCTGTAACCTTTTTTGTAGTTTGGAGTACTCATTCGCCAGTTCGTATTTTACTGTTTTTGATAAACAAACATAATCACCTCTTTGACGTCTTAGCTGAAACTATCTAGTCTCCACACAAAATCCCAAGTCTTAATATGGCTAAAAATGAAACAAACAAGAAATGGTTATTCGATGGTGATGATTTGATACGGGTGTCATAGTTTTTTGGACCTTAAGGTTTCAGTGTTTCGGCTTCTGTTTTCAGTCATTTAACGTTTGTAAACTTTTGGTCTATTCCAATTTTCAATGTAAACTTTCTTTAAAACCCAAACCCCAGCACACACCCACATCCCACACCCCACACCCCACACCCCCAACCCCACACCCCACACCCTACACCCCCAACCCCCAACCCCCACACCCCCAACCCCACACCCACACCCCCTTCAGTATACTGAACTTGTTCTCGCTTTAGAATAACCATGACAATCAGCCGTAGCTGGCCGCGTACGCTACCGCTGAACTATTCCTGGTCACAGCTGACACATGTTCACACGCTCGGTCCTGGGGTAGTCGTGGCCAGAACATGTGGCATGTCCAGCCTGTTGATGGTGCGTGTCCGACACTCACAGAATGGTCAATGTTGTTGTAGTTCCCCATAAGTGTACTATGTGTTGCCTAACACGGCACCAGGGAGAGGTGAACCGGGGGTGAGGGCAAGGTGATGGCTTGTGTAGGTGGCTTGAGGTGGAAGGGGGTGATAGGGTTTTCAGTATGAGTGAGTGAGTGGTTAATATACCAGTACTATTGCGGTGGTGGACAACAGAGATTGTCTTCAAAAAAGCATCTTGGACGGGAATAGAATCTTCGGCGTGGGGAGCGAACGAACCACTTGGTTACCCAACCGCCCAGGCTCTTTAGAGGGAGTGGAAGAGAAAGTTGATGGGTTTTGTACAGAGGGGTGTCGGATATTGGAGTGACTTTGGTGGGGGTTGAGGTTTCGG